TTTAAATGGACATGACATATACGCCCGAATTCTCACCCAGTTTTAGCATGTCGTCAGCCATGAGCGAAGCCAGCCGAGCATCTCCTAGCATCACAGGACAGATGGGATGAGCTGTGCCAGAAATGGTGAACCCTGCCTGGGTCATGTTGTTTCTAAACCTTTGGGACAGAAGAAAAGATGCACAATAGACCATTGTGTTGAGAACTGCCATCATTAGCTCAGTGAACTCTAAAAATCCTTTCTTCTTAAAAGCATTCATACTTTCATACTGAACCAGCAAAAGTCAGCTCATTTTGTTTTGACTGCAAGGGTGACTGCTGCTTTGAAAAGCATATTCTGTTAGATTTAACCCTACTTATCTCTTTTCCACAAACGATAGATGCAGTGACACAAGCTAAAGGGTCAGGGTGTAACCGAATCTACAGTACAAACATCGCAGAACGCCAACTCCCACCTCCAGTCCTACCTCATGGTTTTAGCCGCCATGGACTGAGCGATTTCATTGGATGCCAGCAGCAGCTCCACAGCACGGATGGCACAGCCCACCACAGGAGGGGGGAGGGAGTTGGAGAAGAGATATGGACGAGAACGCTGTCTCAGAAGCTCAATTAAAGCCTTGGGTCCGACGGTGTAACCACCTGACAGAAAATCAGAAAAATATATGTTTGAAAGGACTGAAATTGCTTCAGCTTTCTTAGGAAAGGAACTTTGCTATTTAATTTGTGATTTTACCCGACATAAGCTATGTTTCCATCCACCTATTTTTTTGTGAATTTTGCAATATTATATCGCATAAAAAAAAAAAGATGCGAATAGATGCACATTTAACAAATAAATCCCTCGATGCGTAACAAAAAAAACTTTGACTTTGCCTCAACAGTGGCTGTGATTGGATAACTGGACTAACCAGCTGATCAGTTTCATTGTACAGCATCTCAAATGTTGGTTTGATCGTTCTGAAATGCCTGAGCCAAAGTCTGTCATGAAAATTAGTTGGTTTAATTCCCTCCCAGAAGCGTCTCACATGATTGCGTTCACAAGCACCAGCATCCAAACACAAGATAAAATAACAGCGTTTATTGCGTTTAGTCTGCGGGCTCAGGCGCAAGTCATTAAGATGGAGGAAAGAAGAGCTACAGTGGCTGTTGCAACTTCCATCGTCCAATTTTGTGCACAAGTTAAATTCCCAACTTTGGATGGAAACATAGCTATGGTAGCTTGACCATGTAAACTGTTTAGCTGATGTTTAATATCTAGAAATGCAAGACATACGCACCAGCAGCACCTCCCAGTGCTTTTCCCAGAGTGGAATTGACAATGTGCACTTTGTCCATCACACCCATTAGCTCATCAGTTCCTCTGTGGGAAATAAATGCACAGATGTCCACTTGTAAGATATTATGACATGATACTTTCTCACACAGTTTAAATGATTCTTTAAACATAAAAACATATAACTGCCTCAATATTTTAGGAGGAAGGTCCTTCCAAAGCAGTCGTTCTAAACAAGGGGGCCTCAACAAACTTCCAAGATGGGCCTCAAGATGATGTAATTATTTAAAATAAGACAAAACAAGAATTAAAATCAGCTAAAAACACACACACGAAATCTCGATTTTCTTAGTATTTGGTTATTTTTATATTGAATATATCTTTCTAGTCTCTAAAATATTTTGTTGGGTAGAAACTGTGAGTGGGGGGTCTTGAAGTAAAAAATGTTGGCTTCAAGCAAAACATATACCATCGATTAACAACCTCGTAGCTCGCAGTCGGTCTATTTTTAAAGGTTTATAAGTTATCGTTAAAAATCAATTCCCCTATGGAGAAGTGAATGGGATGTTTCCTTCAGGAATCAGAATGTTGCACTCTATTTTTGGAAGTGCTACCAAGTGTTTCTTCTGTCTACTCACCGGCCGCGAGCACCCATGAATCCTGTGGCATGACACTCATCAATGAAAACCAAAGCTCCGTACTGCTCAGCCAGATCACAGATACCTTTCAGAGGAGCCACATCGCCATCCATGGAGAACACGCCGTCTGTAACCACCAACCTCAGACGAGAGGACTGTGGGGTTAAGTGAGTGAATCAACTCTAAATTCTCCAAAAATTATCCAGCTCCTCTAAGGTGTATAGGAACATAAATGAAATGCAAAACTAAAAGTTATGCAATTTTTGATTCCAAAAGTTGACTAAACATATCAAGCTGTCACACAGTAATTTTATTACAGACTTTATTTTCATATCACCATGCGCATAAACCACTTGCGGTGCGACCTCTGATTTGCATGAAAGAGATTTAAGGGTTAGTTCACCCAAAAATGTTGTCCTCATTTACTCACCCTCAAGTTGTTCCAAACCTGTGTGAGTTTCTTATTTCTGCTGAACACAAAAGAAGATATATTGAAGAATGTTCAACTGGTAATCAGACAGTTGATGGACCCCATAGAATCTTTTTTCCTATATGGAAGTCAATGGGGTCCATCAGCTGTCTGGTTACCAACATTCTTCAAAATATCTTCTTTTGTGTTTAACAGAAGAAAGAAACACACACAGGTTTGGAACAACTTGAGGGTGAATAAATGAGGACAGAATTTTCCTTTTTGGGTGAACTATCCCTTTAAGTCATGAGAAAAATCCAGTGATACCTGTGATTCTTTCAGCTTTTCTTCCAGGTCATTCAGGTCCATGTGCTTGTAGCGGAACCTCTTGGCACGGCACAATCGAATGCCGTCGATAATAGAGGCATGGTTTAGTTCATCAGACAACACGGCATCATCAGGACCCAACAGGACCTAAAGTAAAGAGCACCAATGTATTGAACTGTTACAGTGCATTGGCAGTGTAACTGTAACATGTCTACTTAAGTATATAATATGTCGATTGGTTAAGTCACCTCAAACAGACCAGCATTGGCATCAAAGCAGCTTGCATACAGAATGCAATCCTCTCTTTCATGAAACTGGGCTAGCTTCTCTTCCAAGTTCTTGTGGAGGCTCTAGAGAACGGAGATTAAAAACAAACATTAAGGCATCGATAAGCATTGCTATCAATGTGTTCAAATACATTATGTTCCCTCACCTGGGTGCCGCAGATGAAGCGAACTGAACTAAGGCCAGCGCCATACTTCTGCAGGGCATCTATTCCAGCCTTCACCACCTCCGGATGACTGGATAAACCCAGGTAGTTATTTGCACAGAAATTCAATATGTCTACAAAAGAAACAGGGAGGCGTGGGCCATCAGAAGATGAAGAGGAGCAAAAGATCAAATTCTCTTTATTCACATGTGGATATGCTGGACACTTGTTGGATGCTTTCCTTTACTATCCAGTCCGAAACATTTACAAAAATAACAATTAATAAAAAAATGTTTGTCCACCCCAGTATTATATTAGTATTGAGGTACTAACATAGTTTGTATTAATATTTAAATTAGTTCGGTAAAACATTATTAAAATCAAAAGTTGTATTTGTTAACATTAGTCAATGCAATGTTAACTACCATGAACAAACAATGAACCGTTGGATTTTTAATATCTAAGGTTAACAAAGAATAATAAATACTGCAACAAATGTATTGATCAGTTAGTTAATACTAATACTAATGTTAACAAATGAGACCTTATTGTAAAGTGTTACCGTTAGTTTTTATTTAGACATTTTCCATTTTATAGTTTATTTTTGTCACTTTTTTGCCATTTTTATTATCTTTTTAAAAAATATGTCTATATTGTTTTTTTTAATTAATTTTTATTTCAGGTTTAGTTATTTAGTACATCGATAAACTAAATGAACATGCTAAATATTTCCTTACCAACTAACTGAAATAAAATAGGCTCCAAATGTTTTTATAGTTTTGGTATTAAATAACTAATTGAGATAACTAAATATAACAGAGTCCACACTATTTAGGCTACAGTTAATGTAAGCACAAACCTTTGGATCAAGTGAGTTTTAGATAGATAGGTAGGTAGGTAGGTAGGTAGGTAGGTAGGTAGGTAGGTAGGTAGGTAGATAGATAGATAGATAGATAGATAGATAGATAGATAGATAGATAGATAGATAGATAGATAGATAGATAGATAGATAGATAGATAGATAGATAGATAGATAGATAGATAGATAGATAGATATTTCCCCCATATTTTAACCTCTACATGATGTGACTATATATAAACCTAAATAAATAAAGTTTATAATAACGTTGACAGATAAAACAAGTGTGTAGCGTCCTAAGCGTAGTCTTCTTTTTTATTTAGAGGAGGACATTTAAAAAAAAAAAAAAAATACAGATTTATTTCCCCTTGCCACTGCCAGGTGCCTCCAGGAACGTACAACCTAATCATAACATTCTTCCCTGAAGTATAAGTATTTGGCTCGGTCACCCCGGGTTGCCAAACACCTGCTGCTCACCGCCTGTGCTGCCGTCCACGGAGATATGAGGGCCCTGTTTGGAGGTGATGACTCGCTCCCCCTTCCATGTGCCCGCAGCGCGGATAGAGTCCAGCTCGCTCTCCAGGACACACAGCGCTTGAGCCGCAGCCGCGTACGGTCTGCTCGCGTTAGCTGCAGGCCAGGGCTGGAAAACACTCCACAACGGAGCCCTGAGGCCACGAACAGCTGTGCGAAGTGACATTTCTCACACACTATCACAGCAAGTAGTACAGTAAAAGTACATGGACTCAAAAAAAAAGTGACGTTGACGACGGATATATGTAATTCACATGGGCGTTGAAACATCAACCAATCAGACGCATTTGCGTAAGAGGGGCGACACGCTCTTGATCCAATGGAAGAGCAGCTGATTCTGCATTTTTAAAGAAACAGACTAGACTCACATTTATTGTGTAACTCTACAGTTCCAAACTATAATGTAAAAATAAATGGTTATTGAAGGGGAACTAATGTTGCAAGCTCTATTATGCATCTGATATGAATCGCGGTTGCGAATGCGACAATGCGCTAAAAGTAATAACAGAATTAAATAGATAAAACGAATTCTACGCGGGAAAGAGGCGGACTGACTTCCCGTTTGATCACTACTGCATGTGCAACAAGTCATATACGCGGGAATATCTCCAATTTCCCGGCAAATGTCCGGGAGTTTGTCAGTCAGCTCTCTACAGTAGAGAGAGAGAGAAACAAGTTTTTAACTCGTGTTATGAAAATGTTGGCAGGAACACCTTGCTTTTTAAGACTGTCAAGGACCTTTTTCAGTTTATTCAGTATGGACCTTTATTCATTTTTTTAGGCTTTATACGACGGTTTGCAGTGGAGTGAGAGGGAAAAACTTTAAAGAGTAAGTAATTCTTCTGAAAATATTATATTTGATCTTTATAACAAAAAAAAACATGTACTTGTAGCCATATACATAAACAACACCGAGTAGTTTAGGTTATTTATAGTATCGTTTTGGTTGTATCAAGTTTAGATTAATAGATTGAATACAAATATTCTATTAATTAAAGTATACAAATTTACATTGGGTAGAAGACTGATGACGTGAAAGATAATGTTTAATATCTCGGGAATTTAGCCAGCACAAATGTTCGTTTTGCAGTGTAAAGTGGCTCAAACAATGCACAAATGAATCTATTTGTTTGTAAATGAATCCATTTGTTTGTTCATGATTCCATGAAGCGCTACTTCACACAAATCAAATTCCTCTGGTCGTCATCTGAAACGTCATAACGGGGGGCGTTCCCAATCCGCGGGAAATCCAAATCCATTCGTATGTTGCGTTCACAGAAAAAAACTAAACGCGGAAGTTTAGATAACAAATGCGAATGGAATTCTATATGGAAACCAATAACACAGGTACGAATTACCGGTATTCTGTTTCATCCACATATGCATTCTCAAACTATAATGTCTTTGATCACCCGGACTGTTTGTTTCCTGTAAGTAGCCTACTGTACAAAATGGACGACATTATACATCGTAACTTATTATCGCAATTTTAAAACGTTTTATGCAACACAAAACGTGTAAATGGATAAACAATAGTATTTTTTGGATTATTAGACCTCGGCGAAGAGACTTGTGAGCGCTCGCTATGACAATAAAAGACCTTTTAACGAATGTTGATTGAAGCGAGTTTAACCCTGTATATAGATCAGAGCTATATTTGATTACACAAAATATGTCGCTTTCTAATAATTATCCTAATTTAAGTATTTCTTACCACAGATAGGCCTACCATAATTGAATGCCTATGGAGGGTTCTAAGAAGAGGCTGGACATTCCTGTGCTGCGGTGGACATGGTGACTCTGGTGTGTAACTATATTCTTAAATATATTTAAAAAGTTTATAAACGCACTGAAAGCATTGTGAAGTCATGCAATGTACTTATCCAATACATAAACAGAGATAAAGCTTTCAGTTGAAGAAACAGCGCCACCTCTTGGTTTGAGCACTGTACGACCATGGCATTACAGTGAAGATGGAGGTGGAAGAACGGTTTAGGTGAGACGCTTTCATTCACTAAATGGACAGGCTTTTATTAAAGTAAAATTAATTGCATCTGAATTAATCAATTTTGAGTGATTCAAATTGACCACATCACGTTGAAGTGTTCCACTGTACAATGCTAATGGCCACTAAATTCATTCCATACAGAATACTTGGATCAAGATGAAGAAACAACTTTATACGTTTAGCACTTCAGAGATGGAGGATTGGCCGTGGCCCCCTTGCAATCATCGCTGTCCCAGACACTTATGTCACAAATTCGTGAGAGGAGCCGATGTCAAGACGTGGGGCAGAGTTACTGGCGCTCTCGCCTCATGTGTGCACAAGGAGTTTTGGACCTACGTTGTGTTTGGTTTGGTCCATGCAAGGCATCAATAGAGCATTATCTTGTCTATTTGATGGTGCTACGGAGTTCTGCCAAGCTGTTGGGCCTAAGATTTAATTTGGCCAACAGTGAAAAATGAGATTTCTGTAGACAAATGGATCAATCATTCGTTCACACTTCATTGTATACGGGGGAATATCAGGGCTGGTATTCAATACACAACTGCAAATGTGATATTCCTTTTATACCAAAATTCAACAAGATAGTATTTAAGGCTAGTTAGTAAGTACATTTCAAAATAGAAAAAAGAAAATCTAAAGAAGCCAAAGCCAAAGCATCCAGTTTTCTTCTAGATCTGCTGTACAGCCGAAACAAACTTTGTTGCATTATTTTCCTGTTATCACTGTAAAGCAGCTTTGAAACAATCTGTATTGTAAAAAGCGCTATATAAATAAAGGTCACTTGACTTGACATAAGAATAAATGCTTTTGATGTTGGAGAATCCAGTCGCTTACACTTCCTCCTTCTAACACTTTCCCAGCCATACAGAAAATCATCGGACCAAAACATTTCTGACCAAACATGAGTTCATATAACGGGAGTGCTGTGTGTGTTGACTGATGGACCATGGAGTTATATGCAAACAAAAGCTGCTTAAGGAATTGTAGTCCCTTTCTTATCTGGAGTCATTCACCTCAAGTTGATATGGGGTTGTACGACTCTCTATAAATGTCACATGGATGTTTAAACAACTCCTAATCATCGACCACGATGCGATGTTTGTTGCCGGGCATCATCAGCAACATGAACAGGGCATTATAATGGCAGGATTCCAATTGTGAGGTAAAAAAGTCAGAATTGTGAGATAAAAGTCGGAATTATCTTTAAATTGTTTTATTCCGTGGCGGAAACAAGCTTTACGCCTGTTTCACACATATGGGAGAGCGGGGCACAACCTAACTATTTGACTTTCTCAGTTTGTGTAAATGGGGTTACTCTGGGGTTCAGAGTATTTTTTTTCCCCACATTAATTTCTTTAGCATAGTTCTAATAAAATAAGGGCACATGTTATTAAATTCTCCCTTTAAACCAGATTAACAGAAATCTGCTTTCTCTGTCATGCCTTTAAATAGTCCTAGATTTAGTTAAGGGCAGAGTTTAATATGATGATTTCCTGGATGAAGAGCTACTCCAGCAGTAAATTACTCATCTGTGCGCGAAGCACAGATGGCGTGACCGCAGTACTACACAGGCTTAAATTAAACCTATCAGGAGACAAAAAACTAACTGGGGGCGGGGGAAGGGGGTATAAAATCAAATTGAAAAAAATATTTATCCGATACATTTTTACAGCAGTTTAAAGTAGTGGCTCGAACATAACGAAAGGGTAGCCTATAGTCACATGTCACAAAGCACAAAAATGCTTTGAAAATTTTCAAAACATTTTTTGTCAAAATAAGATTTGTCACCAAAATCATTCAATTTGCTGAAACACGGAGAAAGTTATGGCCAAATTAAGACTCAAAAATACCCCATACTGGATGAAAACATTCCCAACAGCACATAAAGGTGTAGAAAAGTGTTTCCCTTTCAACCAGTGGCGGTGAAATACTGTCAGTTAAATAGCCTACTGTAGGCTATGTTCTGTTTGTTTGTTTTTTGCACTGTATGACAAATATTTTGTCTGCCTTACTTTCTGTGCCATTGCCTGAAATAAAATGAATGAATGAGCGCCGGTGAAGACGACAGTTAGAGTCAACCATAGATTCACTTCGGGGAACTCCGCGATGATGTCAAGCGAACTCACGCGCGGTCCACGGATATACCTCTACTGCGAGCATAAAAAGTAGCCTAGACAAATTACAGACACTCTTTATTTATTTCTTTTTGTCCGGTTTTCGTTCTAAGGATGTTAATCTTGATTATACTTTAGCCTACTTTGTCTGTTCTGGTCAATTCGATATTCATAAAACCAGAACATTTCAGTTTAGCCTAACTACTTTACTTACTATTTACTATCTATATACCCATATAGGCCTACATTTCATTTGCTTCCACGAACCCAGGAGCAGGCTCCGACATAGTCAACCAGCAACTCCTCAAAACCCCCTTCAAGTCTTCATTCACACTTTCAACCAACAGCAGAACTTTTCACACGCCAGCTACCCGGACCCTCCTTGTCAAACCTGCCCATTTTAATTCTACATGGCAATCGCCGCCACTTGTCCCATTTAAAATTTACACTTGAGAATTCAAAGACAATGACTGACATGGTCATGGAAAGCAATAACGGAGGTAAGAATTTTTTTAGCTATATTTTTAACTGCAGCATCTTTATAAACTCTTGTCATATTGGCATGATACTTGACCCTTTTTTCTGCTTTAGTAGGCTAGTCCCCTAACTTATTTATATTAAACGGGCTAACTATTTTGGAGTTGGTTAAATAAATGCAAAATACTCCTACAGTGCAACTGAAATGGACAATACCGATTTGCGTTCCGTTGCGGTGTTTTCGAGATGGTTTTGATTAGATCGTAAGCTGGTTTGCTTGAGTAAAAAAGTGTTTAAGTGTAGGCTACTTTTTTAGCTACCGTATAGGCCTAGTCTACTTGTGAGGGCTAAATGTCCTCCTCACTCATATAGAAATATCATGACAGGTGTGGACATTTTATGTGTCCTCAGACCTCAGTCACTAATAGCCGACAAATTGCCTAAATCATGTTTCTATAGTGACTTGCACAGGTTTCTGTGTGACGCTATAGGGGTCGGGCTGGTTAGGATATGGCAAGCCTACTAGATCCCTAATAAATGACCCTAGCACGCGCTATCTCTTATCTCTGTCTCTACACACGCACAGACATCCACGCATAAAACTTCAGCGTTGCCAGGGGCACGGGCAGTAAAATATTCATTTTAAGCATAAATTAGTTTATTTGTAATAAACACATTAAGTGGGCTATTTAAAAAGTGTTTGTACTATTTATATGTTAAATTATGTTTTTAAAACATATGCGCAGAATGTGACGTCATATTGTGTGTGCGTGTAAAAAGAATGCGCAAAAAATGTGTTGCATCCGTTCTACTGCCTGCCACTTGCACAAGATTTGTGTAAGTGGCAGGCAGGTTTTTTGTGTTCATTTCTATTTCCTGTTGCTGTGCAGGCTCTTTTATTGTATATGACAGTGTAAATAGCCCAATAACCCTTTTATTTAAAGGCTTAATGTATGTCCAGTAGACCGGTCCGTTGCATTACGACTGAAAGCAGTATGGCTATATCAATAATGTCAAAATGTGATGTGCATTCAAGTTCGGGTGTGTGTATGCTGAGAATGAGTGTTCAACTTCTCACCGACACGCGTTTTGACGAGTTTTACAGACTTGGTATTGTTTAATTAAATTCTTCAAAAGTGGTGACCCCCACCACTGCATTCAGCCTCTCTCTCTCTCTCTCTCTCTCTCTCTCTCTCTCTCTCTCTCTCTCTCTCTCTCTCTCTCTCTCTCTCTCTCTCTCTCTCTCTCTCTCTCTCTCTCTCTCATGGCCCACATGTCCATTCAGAACTTCTACTAGCCGAAACAAAAATTATCAGCATAAAACAGATTATCAACATCACTTACACTTATAGATTTGCCTATATTTAAAATCTGATTTATTGAATGGCTTTCGGTTTTTACGTCGATCATTGTTTGCGGATAAAAATAAAATAAAATAGGGAATAAAAGCAAAAATCTCAGTGACTTCCCTTACGAAAAGAAGTTTATTCAAGTGTGCCATTAGTATACTTCTTTTAAACTATAAGAAAGTATACTTTCAGTCTACATTTTATGTACTTCTCAGAAATATACTTTATGTAGGCTATACTTCTCAGAAATATACTTCAAATTACACTTAAGTGTACTTGACTTAAACTGAGAGAAAAGTCCAAGTATATTTGGCCTGTATTTATAACTTTTTTGTTTAAAATGCTGCCTTTCTTTATGAAACTTACCCAACATTCAAGTGTTGACAAAAAAGGATGCATGAAGCTAATTAAATGTTTTTTAAAATGAAAGTTCTATTTTTAGTAACCCCTATTTTTTCCAAGTATAAAAAAAATAACATTTGAACATATAGGCCTCCTGCAAGCACAAAAATAATATGTAAATAGTAAACTGTAAGTATAATGTTAAGTTCACTTAAAGAAAACTTGTACAAAACTACAAAACTAGCACTGAGAGTATACTAAAAGAAAACTTGCAATGCAGTATAGAACTACTAAACTAGTAGTTTACTGAGAGTATACTTCAAAGTGTACTTTCATAAACTAAAAATTTGCTACAAGTATTCAAATAGTAAACTACTATACCCATAAGTTCACTTGCAGTATGAGAAACGTTTATGAACTAGTTGTGCACTTAAAGTTTACTACTGTTACACTTAAATATATAGGCCTACTTTTATATACTACAAGTGGGCCTATTTAGTCCCAAGCGATATTAAAATAGTACACTTACAAGTTTACTACTAGTACATATTGACATTAGTATACTTACTACATAAAGTATACTTAAAAATATACTTGAACATTACTTAAGTATACTTCATAAAACAAACTTTTTCGTAAGGGTTCTCTTAGCCTATAGCATTTCGAAATTTCCAAAAACTACCTATATTGAATGTTAAGCATGTTAAATAGCGGACAGGCTCAAAAATTATAAAGTGATCAGCTGTTTCCTCAGAAAAGTCAACTATGTATCACCTTTTCTATTTGCACTGTAACTATTTGCACACTCAGACTTGTGTCAACAAAAGTGTTCTGATGATACTGCCCTTGTGGTTTAATAAATAGTAATTATTGAACGAAGTTATTATGTGATTTGACTGAGAGAGGTTGAGTAATTTGTTGTGATGAAAATTTCCTAAAATGTGGAGAAGACCAATGAGTTGATAATTGATTTGAGAAGAAATGAAGAAGTGATACTAACACAGTGAGATTTAAAGGTCACAAAATATTTTGGTGTCCATTTGGACAGTAAATTAAACTGGAAGAAGAACAGTGAGGCTGTTTTTAAGAAGGCAAAAACAAGATTATTCTTTTTGAGGAAGCTGAGTTAAATTGGCATTAATAGGGTGCTTCTTCGTTTTTAATCATTTTTAATTTTTCCCTTGTTATCTTTTCCACAATAACCTCAAGTGAACAGGAGTAAGGCCAATATCCGAACAATATT